ACAATGAAAATGTATATAGAACTATTAGTTCTTACATAATTTAATTATGTCAAGAGACACAAATTTAACCTGTTATAATGTAGGCAAGCTTTTAATTTTGTCCATTTCACTCTTCATGTTAAAATATTTCTCTATATTTTTTCTTGACTCGAAATATTAAGGCCTGGTCAAGATGGGAGAGAAATGACTGAGAGGAATGTCTTTAGTAAATAGCAGTAAATTTGTCAAACTCGAAAGAAAAAAGCATTGTCATAATTTAATTGGTAGCATTTTTTTCTTAGTGTTACATGAAATGGCACATTTTTAATTAATGACATTTTCCATTCCATGCAGTGCCTGCCTCACAGGATTGTGAGGATTCAATGATTAACAGCTGTAATGTACTGAGAACGGTGCCCAGCTTATGCTAAGTTCTGAGTTTTTAGCTATTAATATTACCCTATCAGTCAGGGGCTTTGCTATAAGCTGAGAGATAACAATCTATTAGAAAGCCTTAAAATTTGTTTGGTTTTCAACCTAGAGAGCTTCCCTGTACCTCCCACCTTGTCTCAACATCCAGTTTTTACTGAGGGATTACTTTATGCCAGAAACTGAGCTTGATGCTGTAATGATGCAAATATTAGCCACAGATTTGGCCTTCAAAATAAATTAAATACAGACTTTTATCAATAATTATACAGACAGGAAGAACGATAATGCCACGTACAGAGAGAAATTAAGAAAATAGCCAAGCTCTATTATTTATCATTTAACAGTTGGACCTAAGAATATGCTTTAACCTCTATGTGCCTTGGTCTTCTCATCTGTAAAATGATTTACAGGAACCCCCGTCGACAGTGCTGCCCCTGTTCACAAATGCATGGGGCTCACATTCTTAACTCTTGGCCACGGTGAGGAATGTGAAAGCAAAGGTGAAGTCAGGTGAGGAAATGGTAGGCTGTCTCGGGAACGGAGGGGCACAGGGTGCGCTTCTCAGGTCAGGTTGATGCAATGGGCAGGTTCCTGGACTCACTGTCATAGAAATACTAGTCAGGCAGAGCACTAGCTCAGGATTGTCCCCACTGGTATTTTAACCTGGATGGACATCTGCCACCATGTGGGGCCAAACTACAGAATGTATTTGGGACCTATAGTTAGGTGCTGGGAAATCCTGGGTAGCTGGTTGTGCGGGCTCACCCTGGGCCCATTTCATGTTACTGAATTTTTTGTACTTACTGCTGGACTTTACTGTTGCATCTATTTCCTAAGATTGCTGTGAAAAATCTTAAATGAGTTGGTGTATTTAAAGTGCTTGGTACTTAGTAAACTATTAACACATATTAGTTACTACTCTTATGATCAGTGTGATATTAAAAACATTTAACAAGCAGAATGGCATTCGCATCAGTCAATCAGGAGACACAGCACGAACACAACTAGGACTCCGCGCGGGAGGATCCTGCGATCACGGCTCCGGCTCCTCTAAGGAGCAGAACGCACGCGTGTGGAGATGAGGAACAGGAGCAAGGCCCGTCATGCTGTTTTGTGACCGAAGCAAAGGGTGAAAATAAAAGAAGACAGAAAGAACGCTGCCGAATTAGGTTAGGGCCAAGTCACGGTGGGAGAGGGTTCTGATAACTTTATTCAGCAAGAAAAGAAAACGTCACCGTTGGCTTGTGAAGTAGCTCATCAGAGGCTCCCGGATGCGACGGGTCATGAAGTTGAAAACGCGCGCAGTCCAGCGCCCTCCGCTATGGAAAATGTTTGCATTACAGTTCATCTTAAAGAACACAGGCACACATACTCCAGGTAGCTTCCACTGACCAAAGTTGAAAGAAAATACTTTGTAATGAAGTACAGATCCCCAAAGGTTTACTTAAGGGCTTATTTTTCCTTAAGTTGCCTTTATTTTTTGAAGCATTTTGCCCCAGTACAATTCTAATTTCAGTCACTACTTCTCGAATGTTGATGAAACTGGAAGTTTCCAAATCTGTGATGGAAATGGACTGGTGCTATGTGCATCTGATCAAACCAGTAGCAACATAACGTCAAACACAAACGGAAAGCCTTTCTTCAAAGCCTGTAATGGCAACTCAAAGCAGTACTGGCATCAAATAGGAATTAAAATCTCTAGACAATAAGGGTTTGCAGGTCGATTTTGAATTTTACTGTTTGTTACTTCAAATCAGAAACCTTTTGCTACTCAAATTCAAACAGCATGCAGTGGACACCTGTTGCTTTTGTATTCTCAGTAACCGCTTTCTTCTCTTGCTCCCTGCATGGTTCCTTTTTCTGGTAATCTCCCTTTGCTCTGGGGGAACTCCTCTTCTGATCAGCTCAGGAATGAAATGTGACCCAGTCTGGGCAAAATCAAAGTTCTTCCTCCAAATTTTACAGAATTTGCTGCCCTGCTCTGGTTATGACGAAGTAAGCTGAAACTGTCAACGGCTCTCATCTACCATCCTTACCCTCACTGTCCCCTACCCCAAAAGGGCATCTGTAAAGAGAGAGTCTGCTTAGATGAGAAAACCAAGAAAGAAAAACTCAGAGGCAAGTATGGGAGACGGAAAGATGGCTTCCTTGGGTGTTTGGACCCAGCTGTGTGTGGACTTTCCTGTGTATGAACCAGTAAGTTGACTGCCCTTCAGGCTGACACTAGTTTGAAATGAGTTTCTGTTACTTGCAACTGAGGGACAGTTGGTTAATAATCAAAAGTGCACAATATTTACCTGGAAAAAACTTAACATGTTTTATTTATTTTAATTTTTTAATTTTTAATTTTTTAAATATCTTTATTGATTTCAGAGAGAGGAAGGGAGGGGGAGAGAGAGAGAGAGAAACATCAATGATGAGAGTCACTGATTGGCTGCAGCCCGCAACCCGGGCGTGTGCCCTGACCGGGAATCGAACCCCGATCGTCTGGATCCTAGGTGGACGCTCAACCGCTGAGCCACATCTGGCCAGGCAACTGAACATGTTTTAATGCAGTAGTGCATGAGTAAACAAAGCAAACTAGGCTATCTTTGACTAAAATTTAATGACTAATATGAAATCAGGTACAACACCCTTGTATATGTCAACCAAATTAAACAAAATGGAAATTTTTGGCATTGCAGTTATGTGTTTAATGTTTTACTCTACATCACGGAACCTGAATCCCACCACTTGCTACAGGAAAACAAACTGTCTTAACTACACTTTGGATTCTTAAATATCTTTATATTTAAATTATATAAATTTAAATTATATTTAAGTTATATTTAAATTATAGAGTTAAATGATAGCAATTCTCTTTAATTTGTATTTATAATATGAACAGGTGCAAGCTTTGTTCATGGTACTTTATGGCTAATAATCCCATATATAATAATTAGCAATTATGAAAGGCCTACTTTCTCTTTGAAATCATTGTTTAAAAAATAAAGGCAGCCAGGTGGAGCTTTTCTCCTTTTAAAATGTGAGTCATGAACAAAACGCAGGATGTTGCACTTAACATGGGTCAGGGAATTTATCTATCAGAATTTGTCAAGAATCCAAAATGAAGATGGTCTCTAAAAAAAGACATTGGGCATTAATACTACGAACTTCTAGGGCCCTCAATTACTCCCCTCCAAGTAGCTGACATGCTTCTTCACTAAAACACATGCTATTGTAAATCCTATGGGAATAAATGTGCATGTTACTCAAATGAGCCGACAGTTCATTTAAGGGAACTGTGCTAGTTAAATCCTTTCCTAAGAAACAGTCTATAACTGAAAAGTCTAGCATAATCTAGACAATAGAGATGGCAGAGATGCATTATTAGATCATGTAGATATTTTTTCCCCTTTCTTTTGTCTTCTGGGCAGGGGAAAAAACACAGGATAAGTTCTTTGGTTTTTGTCCAGTTTTCAGTTTAAATTCTAGAAGGGATGGAACTCAACATTTTTCTTGGAAATGAGACTACATCATACCAGATTTCATTGTCAGGAAATTCCTCTCCACCCTGATGTTCAGATCACATGTTCATTTGTGTACTTTACCCCACTTTTCCCAATAACAGTTCTATCCATAGTCACACTTTTGATTCACTTCATCCTATTTCTTACCTGTTTAAAGACAAATTTCCCTTTGAGATTAAATATGAATCCCTTGAAATCCCAGTTAGTTGTCTCTCCAGTAATATTGTTAACAACATAATTCTACAGAAATTTTTTTACTGAATGAGGGAGGAGAGCCCTGAAGTTGCTTTAGGAAGTATATATATATTTCAGATTGCAAGGCCTTATTTCCCATGAACCCCATTTCTAGTATTACTTTTATACCAAGGGTCTTTGTGGCATCACTGTCTTTGGATTCTCTTCTCCAATTTCTACCCCAAGTTACATATACTTGTGTTCTACAAGTTTCTTCTGGGCTCATCTTTTTTTTTCTTTCATATTTCTAATTTTTCCAAGTCTCTTTAATTAATGCCTTTGGTTTCCTTTCAGTCTAAAACTTATTTCAATTACAAAGTAAAAATGAATTTCACTAATGTCCAATTTTATCTTTGTTTTCTTAACCATTAAGTACACAGATGCAACACAGATGTAATAATCTTTTACTCTTTTATAGTCATGTTTCAATTTTATAACTATAAATTCCAACAAAAGTAGGAACATTTAATTTCAATATGTGAGATCATAATGTATACAGAGCTGCCATAAGGTATAAATTAAGCCAGGTATATCATAAATACCATAAATGTATATTCCAACAACATGAAAAAGTTCCAAGTGTTTTTCCTTTAGTTACTGATANACATATACATTCCAACAACATGAAAAAGTTCCAAGTGTTTTTCCTTTAGTTACTGATAGATGTTTCAAAACACAGCATAAAACTGGTCATCACAACGCCCCTGTGTGGCAATGACAAGAGTGGAGTGAAAAATGAGATAAAAGGTACAGAATTCAAAGTAAGACATTGTGTGAACAAGTGTGAGCACCGATGGTTCAAACAACAATGTGGAGCCACTGATTTTCTGAACTGAATGTAAGAAATAGTGTCTAAATGTATTTATTCAGCCTTTACACAGGACATCATACTGGGTGCTACCCAAGTATAAAAGACCCAGTCATTCATCTCAAGAGGGTAAGTTACATATACATTCCAAAGGCAAGAACGGGATGGCTAGCTCGTGTGTCGCACGGCCTTTTGACAACTCTGTGGCTGACACAGGTGATCCTTGGGTTTGGTCTTGCATCGAAACAGGAAAGTTTTCAGTCTATTCAACTCAGCACACTAAAAGCCTGGGTCTAATTAAAATAAGCACTATGCCAATCAGGTGCAGAAGAGGGGTTGTTAATAGGAATAAGGGCCTTGTAAGTCAATTCAAGAGGCCAGAAAATACATCTTTAAAAAAAATTTAAATTGTTTAATCACTTTTCAGAAAAACAAAAAATTGCACCCACCCACTGACAATATCCCAGTCACCCAACAGTTAGTCCTCTGCAACCTGGGAACTTCCTTCTTCCAGAAGAGCTCAATTTTCACTGCCAATGTTCTTGGTAGATTCACTTTTCACTGAAAAAAACAAAACAAAAAACATACAGTCAAGTGTTTATACTGTTTCTGTCTAGCCTGCTGGTTTTTCCTCTTCTCTCTTCCCTTCTGATGCACACCAACCACGTCATGTCCCAGGCAGCTGGGACATACAATTCTGGCCACAGTAAATAGAGAAATGGTGTCGGAGAGTGGCAATTATATGTTGTGAGGTAACATCCTTCCTGACTGTGTGGACGACTTGGGAACGGTCACTTCACAGTGTGGTTATGATCCCACACTCACACCACTGCATAGATTGCGATTATCACATAGCCTAGCCAAGTGTGGTCGGAATACATTTTTCCTGATTTTTTTTTAAAACATAAAATTGAGGGTCAGTATATGTTGAGTGAATGTGGGCTAACAGAAGACTAGCTAATCGCCATGTCCTTCCTTTCAAGGAAAGAAGACTCAGCAGCAATGGAGTTCCTTTCAAGGAACTAGAGCAAGCAAGTCTATGATTACTCACTAAACTGAGTTCCTTGAGGTAGAGACTGCACCTTTCCTCCCTATATCTACCCCCTGGTATAGCATGTTTGCTGAATCAACATAAATGTAAGTCACTCTTTTAGGTTTTTTTTTTTGAAGACTCAGTATTTTATTTTTTATTGAACTTACTGGGGTGACACTGATTCGCAAAACCACACAGGTTTCAAGTGAGCAACTCAACAGAACAAAACATCACCTGCACACTGCATGGTGCGCCCACCGCTCCAAGCAAAGTCTCTTTCCATCCCCAATACACTCCTCTTTTGCCCACCTCAACGACCCCTCCCACCCCCCTTTCCCAGTGGCTATCACCACACTGTTGCCTGGGTCTCTGTGTCATGTATATATGTTTTTTGGTTAACCCCTTCACCTTCTTTCCATCTAGTTCCTCAGCCCCCCTCCCCTGTGACAGCTGTCAGTCTGTTCCATGTATCCACGCCTCCGTTTCTATTTTGCTTGTCAGTTTATTTTGTTCATTGGATTATATATGTAAGTGAAATTATATGGTATTTGTCTTTCTCTGACTGGCTTATTTTACTTAGCATAATAATCTTCAGGTGCATCCATGCTGTCGCAAAAGGAAAGATTTCCTTTTTTATAGGAGAGTACTATTATTCTATTGTGTAAATGTACCATAGCTTTTTTATCCACTTATCTACTGATGGGCACTTTTGCTGTTTCCAGATCTTAGTTATTGTAATTAACACTGCAATGAACATAGGGTTGCATATATTCTTTTGAATTAGTGTTTGGGGTTTCTTAGGATATATTCCCAGAAGTTGGACTGCTGGGTCAAAAGGCAGTTCCATTTTTAATTTTTTGAGAAAACTCCATACTGTTACCGTGGCTGCACCAACCTGTCTGCATTCCCACCAGCAGTGTACTAGGGTGCCCTTTTCTCCACACCCTCAACAGCACTTGTTGTTTGTTGATTTACTGATGGTAGCCATTCTGACAGGTGTGAGGTGATATCTCATTGTGGTTTTAATTTGCATCTCTGATGATTAGTGGTTTTTTTTAATCTGCAAAATGGGATCCAGAGTGACTGCTCTATTAATTTCATTGTATGGTGAAACTAAAAGGAAATAATGTATAAAAACACTATGACAATTAAGATTAATATAGAGATTATTTTGCTTGAGGCTTATAGCCATTTATCTCCACTGTGTAAATAAGAAAAAACTCAGAGAGGGAGAGTGAATTCTCAAGGGCCCAAAGCTAATAAGAGCTGGTGCTAGAATCATAAACCTGAAACTTGTCTCATATGCCAATTGCCAAGTTCCTTGGGGTTTGCTGATAGTACCTAGATTTAAGATCGTACCAACAATCAAACTGCTGTTTACTGAGTTCTTTTTATGAGTAAGGCCTTGAAATATCTTCCATCCAAGATATGTCCCCACCCCTGTGGAATTTTATATGCTCTAGCAGAGTCCTTCAAGTGTCCCCATGATATTGCAAGTTAGTTGTCTTCTCCTCTGGCTTTCTCCGCACTTTATGCAAACTCTATTATAGCACCTACTGCACTGTAAAGCCAACATTTGTATACCTGTGCCTGAGATCGGTGCCCATACCCCGCCCATTACCTCACACATACTCTGGAAGAGAAAGGAAGAAACGCAGGAATAAGAAGGGAGGAGGGGAGGGGAGGGAAGGAGAATGAATGAAAGGGTTCATCAGCCCAACAAGAGACTGATGGATGAGCAACTGCTATGCCAGGTATTCTCACTAATTCAAGTAATCAATTTAGGGTTGGATTCCTTCTCAAAGGCAGAGGCATTTTCTAATTTTGAGTTATCTTAGAACAACAGAGAAATGTAATCAACTGGTATTTTTAAATTAATGGGGCTTTGTGCTAGTTGGCATTGCAGTTTGCAGAAGATTTTCCCCTTTCTTTGCTTACTGAAGTGGCCCAGTTTTCTTCTTTTAATAGAGGTCCATTCTTTTTCTATAGACCGAAATGCAGCAGGCTTTCATCAGGTCATTTGGTCTACTAGTTAATTTTGACAAAGACTTGTGAAGCAAGTAGCACTATTCTGATCACTTCGCAGTGGATTGATATGAGATGGGTGGTTAGCACTCTGCATCTCCAGGCTAGTGGGCTACCTTAACTGCTTAACCTTTTACAGTCAACTTTTTTCATTCCTTAAAAAGCAAAAAGCAAACAAACAAACAAAACGTGCCAACTGCCCATCAATATAGGCAGACTTTGAAAAAATTAAATTATGGCAATCTATAATAACAAACATTATAACAACCCTTAACTGTGAAAACTACTGAATTCCAGCCCAGAAACACATTTTCTCAAAACTAGAAGAGAGACACCTTGTGCTATGAAGTCAAGATTAAAAATCCAACTTTTTGGCTCTGGAGAGAGAGAGAATTTCAAGGCTTTCCAAAGAAAATGTCCTATTCTTATATAACCCTTCTTTTGCATTAAGGGACCACCTTGAAGAATATCAAATGGTTTGAGAAAGCACAAAAAAACAACAACAGGCACCTTGAAGGGCTTACACAAAGAATTGCATGTACAGGAAGACGTCGCATTATTTTTTAAAGTATGTGTATTTATGATGTGACAACACTGGTATGGTCCTTCAAATCCTGTCTGATAATCCTTAGTTTTTTGCTACAGCAGCTTTAAACGATCCTCTATCCTGAAAGCATGAGTCACTAGTGCTTCCTGTAGATAAGTCAAACATGATACACCTACCAAAAAGTAGCAAATGTTACTTAAGAAGGTTCCAAGTGCACTACAAAAGTAGCTTTTCTTTTGCTTCGTTACAGGAAGCCTTACTTCAATGTGCATTCCTCAACCAGGTGAAAGAGAAGCTGTGTGTGCATGTTTATTTACACAGACAGTGTTTGCCCTGGCTACTAACCCACATTACTAAACAACTTTTCCCAAGACCAGCATTTAGAGGGAGAGCTATGTGAATTATATTAAGGGATAAGTAAGGTTTTACACAGCTTTTTAAAAAGTGAAACTGGTCATTTAAAAGTAAAACTTCTAATTTAATTTGAGAAAAATCAGATAGTATCAAACTGAAAAACAGAAAGTCAAGAATTAAGCTTAAGATTTAGAAATCCATAATTGATCATTAGAAACTTCAAGTTTGCTAATTAAAAATATAGTTTCCAATTGTGGCACTGACAAAATTTTGGCCATTTGGAAAAATTTTTTCTATTAACTTTCACCCAGAATAAAAGCTATTATATACCTGTACAGAGAACACTTTACAATAAAGGTCACTGCCTGTTACAGTCTATAATACTGGTGTAACGATAAAACCCAAACTACATGTTTCAAGTAATATTATCTTAAAAAACAGTTCAATCAAAGCCAAGGATTTTATGGTTCTCTGGAGTTTGCTACAATGAAACTTGGCCTGTACCTATAATCCTTAACTGAAAGTGGTATCTAATGGTTTTGAGTTAAGGTAAGTAACTTCTCTCCCTTTTTAAAAGTAATTTCTGGATTTTATTCACCCTCTCAAATCTGTATTCAGAAACACAATTAGCTTACTTTAATCATTATTTGCAAATATGGATAAGTCATTTTATACACTGAACTTTTACATATACCACTTCCAGTTCTAATACTTCCTCCCAACTCTACTGCTCACCGAAGGTGGAAAAGATCTACCTTTAAAGGATCATAAATATAGCCAAGGAAACAAAATCAAAGAAAATAAAAACAGAGGGTTTAAAAGTAAAAGAACATAAAGGGTCAAGGCAGTGGCACTTGGCCCTTAGGGCACATTATTCTAAACGCCGCCCAAATTTGAAACTAATGTTCCTTGCAACATTTCTTTTTCTATATGGCGAGATACTAAAAATGTTTTTATATTCCTCATTTTAGGAATCTCTAAAAACAAGAGTTTTAACTAGGGAGTAAGTTTATCTGATCACAACATACTGTTACTTATAGACCATTAGCTTAAAAAAAGACAAAAACACATAGAACTCCAATAAGGCAGAGTATCCTTTTATAGCTGGACATTAAACTGGTTCATTCATTTTAAAATGATAGTATGAGCTCACATTCTCTCAAACCAGACAGAAGCAGCAGCTCATTCATTTGTTGTTTATAGTATTAACTGTAGCTATAAATTCAGTTAAGTGTGTAAATCTAGTGGGAAAACACAAATATAAAGAAATACGGATAGTCCCAATTGCTTCAGTTTCACTAGAGTTATTCTGAATATTACAGGAACAAACTTATACTGTACTTACCTTGGTGAAGAACTTTCATGTCTTTATTGGATTCCTTTAGTACCACATGTAATGTTGGATACTCAATGATCACTTTGTTCCTCAAATTGTCAAGGAGACTTTTGTGAGGATCCAGTTCATAATATCTTATAAAATAAAAAGCAAAACAAGAAAATGCTCTTAATATTAAAAACTACTCATAAATAAAATATATCAGAGTTCCTTACATTAAAAATTTTTTATATGGTGATAACATTAATTCAGTAGTTATTTCCTTATACTAAGTTTAATACTTTAAAAAAAAACAGATAAAAGAGCTATTATTATGGAGGTTCTAAAGCTAAATCAAAAGCATATCAAATAAATTGACATTAGGAAAGCTCTAGAATAGGTCATTCATTTTCATATCAAATAAGGAATAAAGACTAACTTTTATATAATATCTACGTTTAATGTATCATAAAATTATCTTGGGTAAAACAATGACTACCTAAAAATTCAAATTCCTCAAATATACTTAGTTTGAGCCTTAAAAGAAAAACAAACACTATCCCACAATAAATAATTTCTAGTAATGTATGTCAGTAAAATAACTGGCTACAAAAACTGTAGCCAGTAAATTGTCAGTAAAATAACTGGGCAAAAGGTTCATTCTAATTAAAGCTTCCAGAAATTTATACTGTCATCCAATTAAATATGCCTTCTTTTATTTAAAAAATTTAAAAAACCAGGTTTGGGTTTCTGAATGAGGCAAATAAACAAAATTTAAGAGATATGGAGTTTATTAGTCATGGTGTCACGCATGACATAGCTGTCAAATGTATCACAGGTAATTGGATGCTTATATTCCTTAAGATATGAAATTCTCATGTCATTACTTAAAAAAATTTGAGTTGATTCAAGATACATCCCCCTAACACTCTCCCTTGCCTGCTTTCTGGAATAGAAGAGAAAGGGGTGGAATTTCAGCTAGCTTACTGGGAGTTACATATGGGAATGTGCTGCCATGTGAATACAGTGTCATATCAAAGAGGAAACAGTAGAGAACATGTCCACCAATGCAGTACAGAAGTTCTCTAACTTTTCTTCCCTATATCCAGCAATGATAGACGATATTCACATGCACAACACCATCCCAAGGGATACCCAGCCCGACAGCTGTAACTCCACCCTTTTACCTCCCACTCAAAAAAGCACACCAGAATAAGTGCGAGGTTATCATTGAGATACACCTGAATCTGCTGTAATTTTGTTTTAAGAGCAAATCCTTCACAAACTTTGGTATTTCTTAATTAGTAACAAATTACTTACTCCATAACCTGCAGCTGACTGAGACATGTAGCTGACTTACTAAGAACTCCTGGTGCAGTGATTTCTTTGTATTCTAAGTTCGTTCCATGTCACAGTTGTCAAATAGGGGAAAGCAGAAGTACTTAACAAAATGCAAAAGCAAGCCCACTGTGAAAAATGGATTTCTTTTCAAGAAGTAGGTGGCAAGTGAGAGAACAAATGTAAGACCAAAACTTTACTTATGTTTGCCTGACCACACACCTCATCCCTGGAATTAAATTCTTTTAGAATCACAGAATATGTTTTATATTGAAAAGAAACTTGAAATGCAAAATACTCAGTTTTCCTAAACCAGCCACCCTAGTGCCCATAGGCCACAGAATGCATACATTCTTTTCCCTGTGTAACACAATACAGATGTGCTTACGATATGTTAAAAGTGGTTCCAGCACTCAAGGATTAAATGTTTCACATCTTTTAAACATTACTTCCCTTTGAAATAAGCAGCATTTAAAAAAAGTTAGCAGTAATTATACAAAAGAAAAGAAAATGAGATTGAATTAGACATCAAAGTATAACATGAACTTATAAAATAAAATATAAAATACATATAACTAAATTTTTCTTAGGAGAAACCAAGACTTGAATTCTCAAGTAGAAACTTTTCAAGCAGTATCCTATGAACACTTGCAGTAACTTATCTTCTGTGCATTTTAACTGAATCATCAGGCTTCTATTAAGAGACATTTCTCAAATAAGGGAATGTTTTCTACTTATTTCAATTTTTGGTAAATAATGTTCAGTGTATACTTAATGTTTTAGGTATTTTATTTCTTTTACAATATTAAATATTCATTAGGGTTCTGTAGATTTCCAAAGATGGAGCAATTAAAAAAAAAAAAGAAAATTTTCAAAAGCCACATGGTACCCAGAGCCTAATATTATTGCTGATACAACATAAAATATGGTCCCAGCACAGACAGGAACATTTAGAGATACTTAAAATTATCATGTAATAAGTTATATGTTATTTCAATCTTAACAGTATAATGATAACACTTGCTAAATTTTTTTAAAAATTTGGTCCCTATTTTATGTGCTAACCAAAGCACTGAACAAAGCATTTAGGATATAATTAGGATGCAAATATTTATAAGAATTTATAATGAATTATTTTTTAAATATTTTATTCAAATGCAATGGAAATCTGATATGTTGTGTGGTTTTGATTAGAACCAATGAATTTTATTTAGTGTTTAGTCTAAAATGTTGCAAACTTCTAATGAAGGCAGTATTGCTATTGAGTGTGTCAGTAAGTTTCTAGGACTCAGCTTTTGGGTCTGCTAATTAAAGAGGTCAGACTTCACTAGATAACCTTTTAGCTGAAATTCTGAGTTTCTTTGAATTTTCTACCAGTAGTAGTTATTCTTAGTCTACTATAGCGATTTTCAACTACTGTGATTATCAGAGGGAAAAGGGGGTGGGGGAGGTAGGAGAAGGTAAATGGTGATGGAAGTAAACTTGACTTGGGTTGGTGAACACACAATACAATATACAGTCATGTTTTATAGAACTGTACCCTTGAAACCGATATAATTTTATTAACGAATGCCATATCAATAAGTTCAATAAAAAAAAGACAACAGCCAACACAACAATAGCAGTCCAGTGTGAATGAATCAAAATTACACCTATTTTTTTTTTTTGTCAGATTGGCAAAAAATAATGTATTTTTTGGTGTGCCATGAGATGAAAGAGGTCGAAAATCTCTGACTTAAGCCATGAATGCTGTTTCACATTTGTACTTACTTAAAGTTACAAGACAGTCTTACAGAAATTTTAGCTTAGGACAAAGTCACTGAACTTCTTTAGCAATGAAGATATTATATAAGCACTGAAATACATATTTGCCATTTTATGTTTTTAATGTAGCCTTGCAACTTTCAGTACAACCTTTAAACCATTATTTTATATCATGTTTACTTCCAAGAGGCTAAAAGCACTTTGAATGTTTGTTTCTATTATCTTGAGGCAAATTGTACAGTCTAGCTTGGCACTGCCTAAAACATTTAGGCCTTAGCTTCTTTGCAAGTCATTGAACCCTAGGAAACAGCTATATCTTTCGGAACTTTTCAAAAACTCTGGTGTTCCCATTAGGAGAATGGCTCTGCTACCATAAGACAAACTACTTAGGTTTAGAAGAATTAAGATACCAACATTTGTCTTTTCTTTTACCCTTAGGGAACCTCTCAGACATTTCCTCTTGTTATTTCACTTGCTTTCCCTCACAGGTCTGCTAGCTGACCCTGCTCCAGGCAGCTTCACAGGGGCATTAGAAGGGCAGCGTGGCGCAGCAGGCTAAACAGGTGTTACAGCGATTGACATATAAATAAAAGTCTCGATATTTAAGGGTATGCTTTTAATCTTGGCTCTGTTACTAACTTTCAAAGAAACTAGCCACGTTCCTGAAGTTCTTTCTCTGCACTTTATTAGCAACTTAGTATTTTCTAAAAAAAACTTCTCATAACTCAAAAGGAAACAGAATTAAAAGGAAAAAAAAACGAGTCGCAAGCCACTTCATTTTCCATCTGATTACTGACAACCCTTAGAGATAATTTCCCCTTCAATTCCCTAAAAAAATACTGAAACTAAATCTGAATATTCTCCAACTTTAACATTATACTTAGCAGTACCTAGGTTATAGACTTTTTTCCACCATAAAATAAGGTCACTGGATGATGTGAACACCGAGGTCCCTCCAGCTCTAAAATTCTACAAGTTTTGATATATATCTGCCAAAGGTAGCACTTAACCTATATTCTAAATAGTCATATTTATTTCTCAATCTAGGTTTCACTAGAGGGGAGAAGATGAAGGCCTTCTAGGAAGCAAATATATACAAGGTGGGGCAAAAGTAGGTTTACAGTTGTGAGTACATGAGTTTATTCTTGTATTATTTATTAATTAGTGTATTATTTTCCATACGAACAACTGTAAACCTACTTTTGCCCTCGCCCCCATACACAAGGTAGAGTCAGGAATAAGCTAGGTGTCATTAAGACTGAGTACAGAGTGGATATAGGAATACACATAGAATTCATACAGTTTTGGTATTTATAAAAACTGCAGTAAGAGGTCTGGTTGAAGAGGAGGTTGATGTTCTTTGGATAAAATGAAATATCTGAATCACCTAGAAATTTCAGGTAATCATGTCATTATTCCATCTGACGAGTATATATAGTTGGTTACAAATTATTATGCAACATAAGTAGAGTGGATACATTTACTGAAGAACAGATCCAAAGGGATGAGATGGTCAAATTCTTAGCAGATTATAAGTCTACAATTTGCTTAGTGATACTCTCATTTCAAATATATATTTTGATTACTGGTTAAGGGAATTATGTGAAATATAAAATGAGAGTTTTCTCTAAAAATTTGGGAATATATTTTAACTCTCAACTTGACGTTAAATTCTCAGGTTCACAGCCACTGAAACTTCAATTAAGTTGTGCTTGCATCTGTTCTGCAACTTCAGTTTCCCTAGAACTAAGTTTGCAATTCTTACTATAAAACCTATTCAAGCAGAATGCCACACAGGAAACCCGTTCCATCACTGGACCTGTCATCTCTGAGTTGATACAAATATTTAGTACCCCTCTTTACATAATTTCCTTCATGTGTGTGGACATGCTTCAGGTCGATTCTAATGTTTCCTAGTCACCAAATGATCCCTTGCTTCCTTTGTTTTAGACCTAGGGTCTAGATTCCAAATGTGAGCAAAGTTTAATACCATTTTGAGCATGTACTCATCCTGATCATGACTCTCACACTGAAAAATAATCAACAATTTCAA